AACCATCATTTGGAGGTTAGTCCCAATTAACCGATTTTACTAAAGACTGACTAATCCTATGTCACATTGTGGATATGTTTTGTCAAATAATATATTTCCTGCCCAAGCTTTCTAGCCTGCATCTCACTCTTTCTTTATCTTGACTCTCTTTCTAAAGCCATTCCACCACCGAAAATTATTGAGCTGAAGCAATTGCCCGCTCGCTATACTCGGGCCGCCTATCAGTCTGAACGCGACGTATTGCTTTCTCATCTACTGCAGATGTCAAGCAAGTCGCCCAGCCCCTCGCAAGGGGTTGCGGATTGCGGCTTGGCGGACGTTGGGATGCGGGACTTTGTTGCAACTCGACTTACAGAGCTACTGCCGATACGTATGACTTTGAATAAAAGTCATCTGGTCGGTGAAGCTAGTGGCCTTATGGCTGCCAGCGAGGATGTGCTCGCCCGGCTGACAGGCGGCGGGCCCGGGGAGTCGAACACTCTGGGCGCAGATGAGACCAGAAGGCAGCCTCCAAAGGAGACAGAACAAGTACAAGTGGTACACAAGCCTAGAATTATGTCATTATTTATGTATCAGTTATTGTTTTTTACTTGTCTTCCATTAGTATTCTCACAAGATGCCAATAGTGCTATAATATGATATTGATAAAAGTAACTTTAAAGTAAACGGACAGATCCGCATTGAATTTTTCTTTAACATTTTAGGATAAAATAAAGTAAGACTGTGTTTGGCCAACAATAATGTTGCTGTAAAACAGAGATTTGCAGGTTAATGAGCTACAACTCACATTAAATTAGGCTGACTTGACCTTTACATATAAAAGATGTTAAACCCCATAAAAAATATTACTTACCGTCCTCAGTTCTCTGCTTGTTCTCTGGCCTTATTGAACTGCTATGAAATTATTAAATAATATATAAATTTAATCATTACTGAATTAATTTATTGGACTCATGCTATTTCAAAATAAAGTAATGCATTTATTTGCTATTACTTCTTGTTATTTATTATCTCTGTAGTAATACCTTTTTAAAGGTAGCTGGGCCTGCTTCATTTCGTCCACACCGTAATGGATTAGGTAAAACAGGATTTTTTCATCAAACATACAATAAAAATAGACCAAACAAAGAGCAACTTTCTAGTTAACTTTTATAACTCCCAGTTCATTGCTTGTAGGCCAATCACAGGAGTAGCAAACGACCTAACTATTTTCTATGGGCTTCCACAGTTTAGATATTTCTTTACAGAATCCTTCCATTAAACGGCAGAATTACACGCTAATCTGTAATATTTTGGCTAAACTCATGCGTATTTTGGTTTAAAGTGTATAGCTTTGCGTTTTTTACATTTATTCGTGCCTTTTCAAGGCAGGTCAGTGAACATTGTGATTGGTTGCTTCAGGAATAAAAATTAATCAAATTGTGTTGCTACGCTGAATAGCAGACAGTCTGAAGATCTGAATGGATTTTTGTCAGATAGCCAAAGTTATTTTCTAAAGCAGCATAAAGTGGCTGCGATACCTATTCTTTAGGTTCGTATTCACAGCTTTTTTCACCTATTCGTCTATGAGCGCAAAGAGATGAGCAATTCTCCTCGCATTGCTCGCTTCAGTTTTATTCCCTTCATAGCATCATTTACTAATTTATATGATTTTATAAACACTCTTTCTCCAGGCCTCGTTTCCATATTTGCTCTGGTTTCAGGCTTATATAGTCTAAACATATTGATAGCCTTCTTTTCTGAGTTTCAACATCCTTGAAGGTTGGTTTTTATTTCAAGGAATATATTCTTAAAAATAGGCTCTTATTACTTGAAAGGATGAGACAATGTGTTGACTATTTGCTTGATATTTCAGTGGGGCCGCTGCAGCAAGCTTTCTCTTGTCTTCCTGTCGAGTGGCATTTATATAAAATAGCTTGGAGATAATTCTTCATAAACAATCAATACCGTAGACCTACATTAGGGTTTACTTATAGAAATCATCTTGAGC